GTTTTGATGTTTTCATTTGGGCCATGTTTCTTTGTCTCCTCACTTTGGCAGCCACCCCATGTTTGTCTCTGTGTATTAGGTAGAGCTGCTATGACTCTGTGTCATGGTAGTGTAGCCTATGTAGTATTCTGTAGCGTACAGTGGCACAGCCTCCCCTATCACCCAAGCTGGGTACTCAAGGTATGCCCTTCACGTGGGCTAAGTACACCCTTTTGTTATGAGACTTGGTTGCTGTTGGCAGATCAACAGGAGGGATTTACCCAGGTTAGTCAGCTGCAAGGACTGGCTGTGACCACTGACCACATACCTCTGCCCTCTGTGGAGGATCAGCTTTCAGGAGCAGGGTGATTGTGCTCTGATGTGGTCTGTAGCTGTCCACTAGGTGTGGTGGCCCTCGGGTTTCCTGGGTGGTGTAGGCCAAGGTCAGCCCTTAGCAGTCTTTTGCCCAGGGCACCCTCCCCGAGCTGTAAAGCAATCTGCCATAGTTGCTACTTATGCTGGACTTGGAGATTCCCAAGTGATGCGAAGTGGTGAATCTAATTTGGCTGCTGCTAGGGCTCACTGAAGCCAGCTGTTGCTTTAATAGGATTTAAGAGCCAAGATCAGCCATTCTTATGGAAAAGCAACTTAGGTGGGCCCATAAGCTGGGTGGGGCAGAGCCTCTGGGGATCTCCAAGGCAGGTCAGAGTTAGCCAGGTTGATGGAGTCTCAGATATGACACCAGTTTACTGGCTCTGTGGGGGGAGACTTTAGCAAAGGGACAATGGCTTCTGCTTGCCTTGATTTCAGACACCTCAGTTCATCCGTCTACCACTGGTGCCTTTCAAGTTGCAACCCTCGTGCTGGAACTCACAGGGAGTGTCTGAGTATGTGAGTCTGTGTGTGGGTTCTTTAAGAACTGCTTGGGGCTCCAGCAGTTTCTTCAACCAACTCAATCCCCTTTGGTTTTTGCAGCCAGCAGTTGTGGGGATTTATCACAGGGTACTAAAATCCTGGGCTGGGGGTTCGGTTGTGGGCCTGGAACTCCTCACTCCCAAGATATCCCTCCTAAAGTTTTATCCACATGGGTGTTGGACCAGTCCATTCTGCATTTGCACCTCTCCTACCATCCTGGATGGATATGGTTTTGTTACAGAACAGACCCGGGAGTGGTGGTGAACAAATATACTATTACCGAAGGAACCCCCCCCCCGCCCTTTTTCTCCAGGGGTCCTCCCCACCTACCAGGTTCATCTTGCCCGCTGCCAGGGAGACGTCCCTCAATGCCCGAGATTGGTGAAAAGGAATTATTTAAAAGTTATACAGACTTAAGAGTAATGACTTAATGTCTTCATTAAAATACTGAAGTCCTTTAAAATACCCACAGATGCACATAGTCCTTTCTTCTCCCTCTGCCCAGTCTGGGGTACCGTATCTCAGGAAAAGAAGTACAAGTCCATGATTCAGGTTCCCAGCACTATCAGCCGTGTTGCTGCTACGATCTCCAGTTAATACAAAACCATGTGGTACCTTTTTTGTGGCCCACCAGCAAGTCTTTTCACCCCTTTTCTTCCAGGCAGTCACTCCTGCTTCCTAAGCCACATGGTCCCCCCAGGCATGGCTGTTGCACCTGGATTTAAATTTCAGCGTCAGTCTTCCTCTGCAGCCCCATTTCCAACCCCTCCCATAATCAGTTATATGTGCCAGCATTCCCGTATTCTTCCAGGTTTACTGGGCTGCCATAGTAAGTCCAGGTGGGCATGGCCCTGTGGCGTGGAGCTAATCAGCTCCAAGATCTCACGCAGGCACTGTAACCAAGGGGAGTTGTCTCCCAGTTACATCTTGGGTGGAAGTCAGTTCCATCCCTCTGGCTCAAAGCGTGGCCACAGCTATTTAACATATCTATGAACCCAGTTAAAGGTCATAGATATGTTAAATGACCATGGCAGAGGTTAGCTGCAAAGCTGTTGCTATACAAAATGGTTCTCAATGGCCCTGCTCCATGTGTCCCATCCCCCAGCTCGGACTTGTGGGGGTGAGGACATCCTATATATGTATTTTTCTAATATTTCCCAGACACCCTGAGTTCTGGACCCCATTACAAATCCCTATTTGGGCCCCCCTCTTGGCTGCACCCTGTTACAGTTTCCTTAATTCTGTAATTGTCAGACTTCCATTCAACTTGATTTCATAGTTGTCAGACTTCCATTCACCTCGATGTTTCTGAGCGTTGGTTGTTCTATATTTTAGTTGTAATTTTGATGTGGTTGTGTGAAGAGCCAAGCTATGTCTGCTTACACTGACATTTTGACCTGGAGTTCATCACCACTGTGTTCTTAGAAACTAGCACACACCTGGCCATTTACTAAATGTTTGCTGAATGAACCACCAAACACATTATTTCCTTAAGAAATACTTATTATAGGGAAATGATCTAAACACTCAAGGATTCTCTTTCTTTGATCCAAAAGTTCAGATTCCTGTCATTTAATTCATAGCTTTTGTATTGCAAAGTATCCCTTTTTGTCACTTCATCAGTAGTCTCCCTAGTGGTTCAGTTTCTAGTTCTGACCCTATACAATAAAAAATTAGGATTTAAAATAGGGTTAACTCTCACCCCCCAAATTATAGAAAAATACGTGCTTTCTGAAAGAATTTGGGAAGTATGGGGGTGGGGGTAGAGAGAACAAATAAAACCAATTGAGTAAAATCCTACCAATTGTTGCATAACATGCAGAACCATGGACAATTTTTTAAAGTATATTTTATTGAGTATGCTATTACAGTTTTCCAAATTTCTCCCTCCCTTTATTCCCCTCTGCCCTGAACCCCCCAATCCTCCAGCATCTCCCCTCTTAGTTCATGTCCATGGGTTGTACATATAAGTTCTTTGGATTCTGTTTCCTATACTATTTTTGACCTCTCCCCATCTATTTTATGCCTACCAATTATGCTTCTTATTCCCTGTACCTTTCCCCCACTATTCCTCCCCTTAGTTTGTGTTTGCTTTTTAGGTTGTGTTTGCTTTTTGCTTGTCATGTTACTGTTCATAGTTTTGATCTTCTTTTTCTCAGATATCTAAGTCCCTTTAACATTTTGCATAATAAGAGCTTGGTGATGATGAACTCCTTTAACTTCACCTTATCTGGGAAGCATTTTATCTGCCCTTCCATTCTAAAGGAAAACTTTGCTGGTTAAGAGTAATCTTGGATGTTGGTCCTTGCCTTTCATGACTTGGAATACTTCTTTCTAGTCCATTCTTGCCTTTAAGGTCTCTTTTGAGAAATCAGCTGACAGTCTGATGGGAACTCTTTTGTAGGTAACTATCTCCTTTTCTCTTGCTTTTAAGATTCTCTCCTTATCTTTAATCTTGGGTAATGTAATTATGATGTTCCTTGGTGTGTTCTTCGGATCCAACTTCTTTGGGACTCTCTGGGTTTTCTGGAAGCCTATTTCCTTTGCCAGATTGGGGAAGTTTTCCTTCATTATTTGTTCAAGTAAGTTTTCAGTTTCTTGCTCTTGTTCTCCTTCTGGCACCCATATAATTTGGATATTGGAATGTTTCAAGTTGTCCTAGAGGTTCCTAAGCTTCTCTTTGCCATGACCAGTACGGGGAGGAGGTCCCTGGGGGTGGTGACAAGAGATTAAGACACAGTCTCAACAGTCTCAGACAGTTTAAGAAAAAGCATTGTCTCTCCTCTGATGGAGGAGGTCCTGACCCTGAACAGGATCTCCACATTTATTTTATAAGGGTTAAATAAAGCTCAAGGATGTTTTGCAGACTTGGGGAAAAACTGCAAGCATAATTGCTCCATTTCCAGGTTATCTAAATGATAAATATTTCTTCTACAAAAGTTACAGTTGCATTCAGCTGAAGCTTGTGGTTAACCAGCTCCTTCTTAACCCCTGCAGGTTGCTGCTGGCTCGACCTGCCTTGCAAATGCAAGCAGTCAAGTGTGGCCTTGCCAAGCACTCAACCTTAGCTTTGATGCCAGCCTTCACCGTCCTCCACATCTCATTTTTTTTGAATTCTGTTTCTTCATTCTGTTCCAGTTGGATGATTATTTCTTCCTTTTGTTAGAAATCATTGATTTGAGTCTGTTTCCTTCCTGTCACTGTTGGTTCCCTGAGTATTTTGATTTCACTTTGGGTATCTTTCATTTTGCGACCAAGCTCAATCAGTTCTGTGGGCATTTTGATTACCAGGGCTTTGACCCCTCCATCAGATAGGCTGGTTATCGCCTCATTGCTTAGCTCTCTTTCTGGATTTTTGCTGTTCTTTCATTTGGGCCATATTTCTTTGTCTTGGCACACCTGTTAAGTTGTAAGGGGGCAGGGCAACCCTCCTTGCTGTGCTGCAATGCTGCCTGTGGGGAAGGGGCCAGAGAGGGAACAATGCAGCTCGCCTGCTCAGCTCTAGCCCACTTTCCAACAAACCCTTGTGTGAGACTGGAAGTTTCTCCCACGGTGGCAGCCCCCGCCATAGTCCACAGTCAGCTCTGAGTCTCAGTTTCCTGTTAAGCTAGCCCCACCTGCGTGGTCCACTGCCTAGCCACGGGTCTCTCTGTCCACCCATCTTACTGGTCTGGTTGACTGTTTAATTCCTTTGTTGTTGGAGTTCTATGCAGTTTGATCTTCTGGCACTTCTGGTTGTTTACTGATTTTAGATTGGTTGTTATTCTCCTTTTGGTTGTGCAAGGAAGTGAAGGGTCTTTACCTACGCCTCCATCTTGGCCAGAACCAGAACCATGGAAATCTTGCTAAGAACCCAGTACAGCCCCTTTTGTGCCTTGGTGCTCTTAATAGCATTTGTCTATCTTCCATTTTTAAATAAACAGTTACACAGTTATATTGGGATAATGAAAACCTGACAAGTAAGTTGAGGTGAAAGATTTCACAATAGCCCACAGTGATCTGGTTGGACAGAGGAATCTTTACAGGATATTCTCTTTACCAATATTGCCTGTCTCAGATGAGCTAATAATATTAAGACAAATGAAACAAAAATAAAAGACCACAACTTACATATAGATGAAATTTTACTTATACATACAGGTGAAATTTTTCACCTCAGAAATTCTTCTTTTCTAAAAAGTCTTTTAATTTTAAACTTCAAAATGAAAAGACTGAAAAGGACAGTGTACAGCTGTTTAGTTTTTTATATACTATAGTCACAGTTAATTTTTTCAGCTGCAAAATACAATACATACCTCTCTTACGATAAGAAATGCACAACCTTTTTTAACTGCAGACTTCAATGATATGATGGCATCATAAATCAAAGAAAATAAGTTAATATTCTGAAACAGAAGACTTGGCTTTGATGTTACATAGGTACAATCTCTAACCACTTTTCTCCATGTTAATTTTTCCTCTTAGGCATCTAACTCAATAGAGAATTTTCCCCCCTGACATTATCATGAAAAAACTGAAAAGAGAAGTGATAAAGGCTACTGTAAAGAGTCTTAAAAACTATCTCCCATGACCCTACATATCTCAGTAATTATACATTATCCACTGTGTATAAGAAACAAAAAGTATGTTTTTGGATCAATAATTTATATATAACACTTTATCTGAAGCACATAAGCCTCAGTACCATGTAAATCTCAATCTCACTTATAAAACAAACTATTAATTCAAAAAACCATTAAATGTTCAAGTGATTAAATGTCAAGTGGTTCCTATGTCCAAGCAAGATTAAGTTGGTTCTCCCTCCCTGCTTGAGCCTGCAAAGACCATCCCCAAATACACATGGTCCTTCCGGGGTGGTAAGGTAATCAGTTCCTGGATCCCTGTCCCACAAAAACTGTGAAATGACAGATGTTTCTTGCTTTGAGTTCCTAAGCTTTGTAGCAACTTGTTACATTGTGGTACATAATTAATATAAAAAGTGTGCATCATTTTATATTCTCACTGACTATAAGATTAAAAATTTACTCAGGAAGATGTGCTTTTTTGTTTTTTGAGTAGGGCTTAATTTACAACATTTTGCCCAATATAAAAAGGATTTGATTTATCTGATAAACCATTCTTATGGATTTAGCCACCAACTCCCCCATTTATTTACCAGTAATATGGTTACTCTTTGAAGCCTCTACATTTATTTCAGATGACAATTTAGAGAACAAAATATATAACAGCGGGCACAATAAACTTAAATGTCTGTTACCTTTAACAGTAAAGAATGTAAAGTAGCTGCTTTACTTTTTAAACTTAGTGTTGCTCTTTGTCTTCATTATTTTTCTTAAATTCTTGCCCAAGGATGTGTTTACTGATTTTAGAGAGAGAGGGGGGTATTGGGGCAGGGGGAGGGAGATTGAGAATGAGAATGAACATCCAGCAGTTGGTTGCCTCCCGTGCATGCCCACTGGGGGATCAAACCTGCAACCTTTTGCTGTGGGATAGTGCTCCAATTAACCAAGACACCTGGCCAGGTCTTGTTTTTCATTTTTAAATTGCAGAAGTTCTATAAAATTTGGCTAAGGTGAAGTATATTAAAAAGTTCTTATTAGAAAATGTCAGCAATCTCAATTTTCTACCTGATTGATAGGAGACTTGATTTAATGAGGGCTTTTGCAGCCTGGAAGAGAAGAGGAGATGAAATGAATACCTTTCCATTCTATGCAACAGTTACTCTGCTCTTTTATTGCCATTGTTGTCATATTGGGTTTAGACTCTCCATGGGGGCAAAGGCACTCTGGTCTGTTCTTACATTTTATTAAAACTGTACTCAGGGTGGCATGAAAGAACATTAGATCCAAGGTGGCAATAAGGTTGTATGTAGCTCATGGAAAGAAGAGGCTTTTCCTACTTTTGCGAAGGTCATGGACACTCCATGTATGAGTGAAGAAATAGTTAAGTACGTAATATAGAAATATCCCTATCCCTTTAGAATAAAAACAAAGCAAAAATAAGTAACCACAGATGACATTTTTACTTTAAAAATACCAAAATTCCCAAAAATATATGTTAGGAATCTATAGAGGGATGAGGAAATAGAAAACATTTCTTCCTTTTATTGAGGAAAAAAATTATAATAAAATTAAATGGAAGCAATGGATACTCTTGCAACAAAGTTTTGTGTTTATACAATACTGCCGACTAAAAATGACACCTTTGGTCAAAAGGTAGCTCTGTTCAACTCTAACAAGAAGCCTTTACATGAATTTACTTAGGAGAATAATTCATCTTTTTAATAACAACACTCCTTGAGTAGGCTACTATTTACATAGATGTAATGGAAAATATCACTATACTGCTATGATTAAAAGAAGAATAATTTTTACTATTCTCTGAACAGTTTACTCAATTTTTCATAGAGCCTAAATAACTAGGAATCAGAATCTTTTCCCATTAAAACCTTGTGCTTTATCAAAACTAGAACACAGAACTAATAGAAGGGCTAAGATTAATCTGTAAGAAAATATAACTTTACAGAATTTGAATTTAGGCTTTAACCATTTAGAATTTTCTATTTAACATCTAAAGAGGCAGTACTTATTATAGCATTACAAACTTATAATGCTCCATTAGTGTGGTTATGATTACCGAGTTTCATTTTTTTCAAAAAAGGTTATTCATGACTGATATAAAAGATCTGTCCCCAATAAATTAGCTAAACTTTGTTAAATATAAATGGATAAAGTAAGATCATCTCAAAGCAGAGTTTAAAGACTTAGAAAGCTTTGGGTGAGGTCACAGAGCTGTGTCTTAGACTCCACACTGCTCGTGGGCACTGATGTGTCTTGTTCCTCAGATTGCCTCCCCTATAAATACTTATTAAAGTTGAAAAAAAATCAAATACTTTTTCCTTAGAACATGAAATAACAGAGATTCCTTTCTGACTTAAACACACCAGAAAACACAAACCACAAATAAAAAGCCCTGAGTGCCCAAATAAACAAACTGTTAATGAAACAGTCAAATTCTCCATATGTACTTTTTTCATGTAAATATGTATTCACTCCTTGCAGTTGAAAGGGAATAGCCAAACAATTTCAAATTCTTGGATTTACTCTAAGTACTGGACACACTTGCTCTAGGGTAGGTTAATAACATCCAACGAGGAGGTCCAGTCTTCAGATAGTCCTGACCAGATCTAAGAGGATACTTGGGACACATCACAAAAATTAGGGCATGGTCGGGGGAATCCTCAGAATAATTATTTGAAGAAAAGCCAATACTTTCTTGGAAGCCAAACACATAAAATTCTGTTCTACATAAGAAACACTGATATTATGTTATGCTTCCACATGATTTTAAGGATGCAGAGAACAAGATGAGTTTGTATGGTTTTTAAGACTAAAGTAATCTCTAATAGTAAGTAACTTACAAAAAAGTAATAACAGTGGACCAACAGATAAGAGTGTTCTTCAACTTTTCTTCATTGCACAGAGAAGTCCCCCTGAAGTAAGAATAAGAAAATTCAGTAAGTTGGAAAATATTTCCAATTTTAACTGTGTTTTCCCGTAAAGCCACATTTTAATATTGATGTAGGTTTCATATAATTGAAAAAAAATCTTAAAAAATTTTAAGAAGGAGCATTAGTTTTTATGTAATTCCTTCATCACTATTATGAACCCTTGCCAGTTCTGGCTATAAATGAATGATGTAATGGTTTTGAACCTAATCTTATTGAGAACCTTTAAAGGCAGTGAACTTTTTCTAATTGTGATCTTATTTAACATAAAAAGACTACTAGCAAACCTTTCTTCATCCTTTAATAAACCATGAATATTTACCCAATCTTTAAACCACACTTTCCATTTCTCATAAACTAAACTTTTATTTTAGCATTTTTAATAGCAATGCCCTGTTAGCTTATTATGAGAACAAGACTCCTTTTCTATAAACCACATTTTTAAGCCCACGAAGGCTGAATTTTCAAAAATCAGTTTTCTTATAAAAAAGATGTACAGGTTTATAATCTACTTTATTATAAAAAGAAATAGGTTTTGCACTTAACTATTTATAGACAAAGTTTATTTTTAGAGAAGTTCAAATTTATCAGTATAAAAATATACCTCACTGAAATATACTTACTTATAAAAACATACTGCCTTTGCCATGTGAAAATTTGGTATTTAGTTCTCTAGATTTTTTAATTAGGGCTTTTTTCTGAGCTTCATCAAACCGATTAACCTTAAGATCCTTATCACGGTCAAATGGTATTCTTTCTTGGGGCTTAGTTTTATCTTCAGCAGATTTATTCTTTATTTTTTTTTGATGAATGTCCATAAGAGATTCTGATCTTTTTGATTCCTGGGGAAAGCAGGAGAAAATAAAAATCTTAGTTTGTGTGGATTATTGACAGAATACGATAGTGAAACAAAACAGTTAAGTAGTAATGGTGAACATTAAGGAGGGCTATTTATAAACCCCAACAGGTTTTTCAAATTCCAAGACAGCATCTATGAAGAAAATATGTAGCAGAGGCTAATTCAACTCAATGAAAGCATCAAGTAATTGCATGCCACACACAGGAAAAGAGCAAGACAGAGAGGAGACAAATGTTTAAATAATCATAACGAAAAGCACTGTGTGATGTACCAAAATTAGAGTCCAAACCAAGAACCTGGGGGAAAAAGAAAGAGCAATTATATTCTCACTTGCCAGCCTGGTTAAAGCTTTATGGACGTTGTGGTCCGTGAAGCTTACACAAGTGACCAGGAAGGGAATGGCACTGCCAGGCTGAAGTAAAAACAAGGGGAAACCAGAAAAATAACAGCACGGAGGTGACACAGTTCAAGGCCTCTGCAGGACATGCTGGCATGTTCCCTACACAAGAGAACTTTTGTTCTGTTCAGTTTTGTGTTCTTTTTCTTACCTTTCTCATTTTCTTCCTTTTTTAGTTGGGGGAAGTGTTTACATTTTAACATCTATATAGTAAGATGAGCGTGAGCAAAGGCAATTGGTTTCATAACTTAAGAGATTCATTATGAATCTTTTAGTATTGAAGTAAAAGACAGAATGTCCCTGGATGAAAGCAGCAGGGAGTGGGATGCAGGACAAGATACAGGTAGTACTGACTAGCAGCCTTCAAACTGGGATATTTGTATCCCTGGGTTACACAGACTGGATGCCATGGTGTATGAAGGCATGGATAATTTTAAGGTTATCCACTCATGATTCTCAACTTCTTCATGTAGTCTTACTTAAAATAGACTTGCCCAATAATGCATCTTATGAGAATGGCTCCTGTTTTGTTACAGCCTCTTCCCATTTAACAAAGGTGAGGTCTTTCAGTGTCTTCTTACAGAACACCACCTGGGAGACCAAGTGTCCAGGGCATCAAACAAAAAACCCTGAAATACTAGTATAAGTGAACATCCTCTCATCAAGGAAGGACTTAGTGTCTTTTCTGTTTAAAACATATTTCTCTTAAAAGTGTAAGGTATTTTTAAAATGGGCGTTTCTGCTGTTGTTGGAATGTTCTGAGTTCAGGTATACTGAAGAGTGGGGCAATGGAAGAAAGGGTGATTTTTGCTTAATATAACCTCTTCCAGGCCCTGCCCGGTTAAAAAATATATTTGACAGCAAAGAGTCATCTGAAGACAGCTCAGTGAAAGCAAAGTAACAAGGCATTTGTAAGAAATGTTGAAGGTGGAAGCATCCTATTTCACATAGAAGACAAATAAATTCATGGTTTACCTACTTTAGAATTCAGAATAGTTACAGGAATGATGATTAACACATCTATTTGAATGGAAAAATGGAGTCAGGTTTTCTGACAGAAAGTTAAGTCTGCCTTGGCTGATTTGACAACCAGAACTGACTTTGTCAGGTTATGTGGTAGTCATTCCCTATAAATGAATGAGCACAATCTGAAACTATACGGTTTTAGCGGAAAGTACAAATGACGTTGTATAAGTAAACATTTAAGTTAGCATTGTTTCCATTTTCCCAATCCTCCATAAGTCATTTCATAAGTAAATCCTGATAAAGTTTTTAGAAAAAAATTGATTTGCAACTCAAGTACTTTCTGGTTCTTTATTTTAATAAAATACTAGGTCAAAATTCAAATCATGCTAAGGAAAAATAGGTTATCAATATATACAGCATGGAGAAGTAGCTAATAACTTAAGTTCCGAACTCAGGAAAATCTGGGTTTCAATGATGGTCCTGCTGTTTTCAACTCTGGTGACTTAGACATGTAATTTAAGCCCTCAATTTCTCATGTATGAAATGATAATAATAATTTTAAAATATTTTGGGTGAGGGAGGAGCTAAATAATCTAATGAATACAAAGGTTTTAACAGTGTTAGGCACATAAGAATCTCCCAATAAATGTTAGCAAGATTCACTGAGAATTTACTGTATTGTAATCCTCACCATATCTCTGTAAATTAAGAGTTATTATTCCCATTACCCAGATTTGGAAAGAGAGAAAGAGATAATAAACTAATAGGATCAAAGTGAAAAAGACTGAAGTGTATAGCTGACAATCAAGAGAGAGATCATTAATATTTAACAAGTTGCTATGAGGTTTAAGTAAATAACTCAGAAATTGTTTAAAGAACTGAATGATGTTGTAATTAACTGTTTTCCATCTCATCCACTTCTTTATTTCTACAAAGATTTTATTTATTTATTTATTTATTTATTTATTTATTTATTTATTAGAGGGGGGGAACAGAGAGAAAGGGAGGGACAGCAATTTCAATATGCAAGAGAAACATTGATCAGTCACCTCTTGCATGCCCTCAACCAGGGACTTGGCTGGCAACCCAGGCATATGCCCTGACCAGGAATTGAACCTAAGACTTTTTAGTTCACAGGCCAGTGCTCAATCTACCAACACACCAGGCCAGGGTGCCCTACATCTTTATGTAAAAATGGTATCTTAACTCTTAAATATAAAACTCACTTACCTACAAAAACAAACAATAGAACACATTTGATGCTGAAACCTGTCTTATTCTAGCATTAAGTAACACTCATCCACATATCAGGAACTAAGTAGAAAAAAAGTCTTTCATTAAGAGATTAAATGAGGACTTCTGATCAAAATGGAGCTGCAGGTACATAAACTTTGCCTCCTTGCTCAATCAAACGAAAGACAACAACAAATTTAAAAACAAACAACCAAGGAATTAAAGAAGAAACATTCATTCAGAATGGTAGCAACAGTGGAGATGGGCAGCTGGGGCAGAGAGGACACATGGCAAAGCTGTGGCTAGAGGACCACAAGGGCAAGACAGCAGTTGGCAGTACCACATTTGTGTGCAGATAAACTGGGAGGAACAACTGGGGATCGAGACAGACCACACAAACCAGGGTTCCAGCATGGGAAAATAAAGCCACAAAACCTCCAGCTGCGAAAATCCTCGGGGGTTAAGGCTGCAGGAGAAACTCCCAGCCTCACAGGAGAGTTCGTTGGAGAGACCCACAGGGTCCTAGAACATACATAAAACCATCCACACGAAATCAGCACCAATTTGCTTATGGGTAGCAGAGGAAGTGACTGAAAGCCAGCCAAGAGCCGAGCAAGTGGCACTGTTCCCTCTCTGAACTCCCCCTACAGATAGCACTACAACCCAGCAAAGTGGGTTGTCCCACCCTTGTGAATACCTAAGGCTCCACCTCTTACCAAGAAACAGATGCGCTGAGATGAAGAAATATGAACCAAACGACAGAACAGATCAAAACTCCAAAACAGAACTAAGTGATGATGAGATAGCCAAACTATCAGATGCAGAGTTGAAAACACTGGTAACCAGGATGCTCAGACATAATTGAATATGGCTGCAAAATAGAGAAAAAAGTGAAGGCTATGCAACATGAAATAAAGAATAATATACAGGGAAACAACAGTGAAGGGAAGGAAACCAGGACTCAAATCAAGGATTTGGAGCAGAAGGAAGAAATAAACATTTAATCAGAACAAAGTGAAGGAACAAGAATTCAAAAAAAAATACGAGGAGAGGCTTAGGAACCTCCAGGACAACATTTAACATTCCAATATCAGAATCATAGGGATGCCAGAAGGAGAAGAGGAAGAACAAGAAATTGAAAACTCACTTGAAAAAAATAATGAAAGAGAACTTCCCCAATCTGGCAAAGGAAATACACTTCCAGAAAGCCCAGAGAATCCCAAAGAAGTTGGACCCAAAGAAGAACACACCAAGGCACATCATAATTACATTACCCATGATTAAAGGTAAGGAGAGAATTTTAAAAGCAGCAAGAGGAAAGGAGACAATTACCACAAAGGAGTGCTCATAAAACTATCAGCTGACTTCTCAAAAGAAACTATACAGGTGAGAAGGGGCTGGAAAGAAGTATTCCAAGTCATGAAAGGCAAGGACCTACATCCAAGATTATCTATCCAGGAAAGCTATCATTTAGAATGGAAGAGCAAAGAAAGTGCTTCTCAGATAAGGTCAAGTTACAGGAGTTCATCATCACCAAGCCCTTATTATATGAAATGTTAAAGGGACTTATCTAAGAAAAAGAAGATCAAAACTATGAAGAGTAAAATGACAACCTAACCTATCAACAGCTTGATCACAGATATCAACAACCAAACCTAAAAGAACAAAACAAAAATGAAAACACACTAAGCAAACAACAAGAACAGGAACAGAATCACAGAAATGGAGATCACATGGAGGGTTATCAGTGTGGAGGGTGAGAGAGGAAAATGGGGGAAAAGTACAGGGAATGAGAAACATAAATGGTAGGTAAAGAATAGACAGGGGCAGGTTAAGAATAGTATGGGATATGGAGAAGGCCACGAAAGTATAAGTATGACCCGTAGTCATGAATTAAGAGGGGAATGCTGTTGGGCAGGGTGCAAGATGGAAGGGAATAAAGAGGAGGAAAAAATGGGACAACTGTAATAGCATACTCAATAAAATATACTTTAAAAAAGGAGATTAAGTGAAATGTACATTTTACTTTTTTACAATTCATAATTATTTACCAAAATTTGCCATGTTTCCATTGCTTTTTTAATTTTTAATTTTATTTTTTGATTTTAGGGAGAAAAGAAAGGAGAGAGAGGGAGGAAGACAGAGAGAAAAATATCAATTTGTTGTTCCACCTATTTATGCATTACTTGGTAGATTCTTATATGTGCCCTGACTGGGGATCAAACCCACAACCATGGCATATCAGGATGACGTTCTAACCAACCTAGCTACCAGGGCCTGTTTACATTGTTTTGATCACCTGAAATTATAATTTAATCCAGAAATTTTTTAAAAGCATAAACATTTTAAGACACAGAAATTCTTTTTAAAACTTTCAATTTCAATTTATGTGCATATTTTTGTTGCAGTAAAATGCAACTTATCAAATATAATGATGAAAAACTTTCAAGTATAATAGTAAATTCCATTAGGACAGAAATTATGTGGCAGGGCAGAAATAAAATTATGAACTCAAAGAGAAAAAAGGATGAAATAAAATTTCCAACTGTTAAGGAAGTACTTGTTTATTTTATATATTTTGTATTTTATATATTTTTCACAAATACTGATATATCCTGAATTGTGTTGGTATTTAGATTCCATTTAAAACATTTAATAGAGTCATATGAATACTATAAATTCTCTCTGATAAATATTGAAACTTATAATATAAAATTTAAGATGTCAAGTAAAAGGTTTCTTTTAGGAGATTCCAAAGCAGAAACACTTGAAGGTCACTGGTCTCCACTGCTGACTGGTTGAAGAGAAGATTCCTGAGTCTCACCATATATTTAGTGAATGATAATCATCAACTGTGGGTCTCAGCAACCTGTGCTTTTAAAAATCACCCAGGTTCTTATACAGGGTACCCATCAGTTGTGGAATCCCCTGTGTAGATTACTCTTTCTGGTAGTTTGGTATTAATAGAAAGAACTGGAATGACATCACAAAAGAGAAGTAGAATATGGTTAATTTTAGGATGGGGAATTATAATGTAATATAATTATATATGAATATATAAGTGCAAAAAACAATACTATAAAAACTTGATCTTTTCATACCATTTCTCCACATTTTCCTCTTTTCCCATTAATTAGAAAATAATTCACTAATGCAACTACAGTGATGAAGGTGTCTAGACAGTCTATCAAAAGTTGGAAGGTAGTGTCGCAGGTTCAATTCCCAGTCAGGGCACATGCCTGGGTTGCAGGCCAGGTCCCCAGCAACTGCACATTGATGTTTTTCTCTCTCTCTCTCTCCCTCCCTTCCCTCTCTAAAAATAAATAAAAATAAAATCTTTAAAAAAAAGTTGGAAGGGGAAGGCCTGAAGATATTAAAAAGCTGAAGAAAATAGACAACAAAGTTTGAAGGAGATGTGAGAAAAAATGAAGTTGTAGAGGCCCTACTTTATCTAGAGCCCCTACTGAGAAAAAGGATGAGCAAAACTGTACAAAAAGTAACAAAAAGTAAACAAAAATGGCAGGTTTCAATTTACTGATCCCCTGTACAGACAGGTCCTGACATAAAATGTTTCAATTTATGATTTTTTGACTTTACAAGTGATATGCATAATTATGTGAGATATTCAATACTATATTATAAAACAGGCTTCATGTTAGATGATTCTGCCCAACTGTAAGCACATATAAGTGTTCTGAACACACTTAAGGTAGGCTAGACTAAGCTGTGATGTTTGGTATGTTAGATGTTTGAAATGCATTTTTGACTTAATGATATTTTCAATTTATGATGGATTTATTAGGATGTAACCCCATTGTTAAGTCAAAGAGCATCTGTTATTAGTAAATTTAATAAATTAAACATGAATAAAGACAGGAGAAGCCCAGGCCAGTGTGGCTCAGTTGGTTGGAGCATCGTCCCCAAACCAAAAGGTTATGGATTTGGTCTCTTGTCAGAGCGTGTATGAGAGGCAACCAATTGATGTTTCTCTACTTCTCTCTCTAAAATCAGTAAGTATGTCCTTGGGTGAGGAGAAAAAAAGAAGGGATATACATCAAACCATTGGACTATTATAATCCATTCAAACAATTCAAGGTCTTGGATTTGTTGTATCAGCTGTTTCAGGTGCACTCTCGGGTTTAGCATACTTTGCATGCTGTGACACAAATGACCACACTAGTGCCAGAACTATAAAAAACAACAACAATAAAAACATCTAGAAGTAGTCAATTCGCTAAAACTCACATTGAAGGCCAATTCATGTAGAAATCAATTTGCGAAATGCCAATTTGATGATTTACCCAATTTATTCATCTAACAAAATAAAAATAAATATTATTTATTATTTATATAAGCTCATACTGAAATTTATTTTATAAGAAATTATAAAAAGCCAGAGCAATTTATGTTAATGGGACAGTTTCATAGTAACTTTTGAAAATTCAAGCTAAGATTCTAGTTTGGTTATTTTGTTTTCATGGTAGTATTTTATTTACTTCTAAAGATTTTATTTATTTAATTTTAAAGAGAGGAAGGGAGGGAGAAAGTAAGTGAGAGAAACAGTGTTGTATGAGAAACATCGATTGATTGCCTCTTGTACTGGGTCACAACCCAGGCATGTGCCCTGACTTGGAACCCAACGGGAGACCTTTCAGTTTGCGGAATGATGCTCAACTCACTGGGCCATACTGGTCAGAGCTTCATGTTAATATTTTAAATAGTGCTTGGCCCTGACCCTTGTGGCTCAGCTGGTTAAGCAACGTCCAACAAAGCAAAAAGTCACCAGTTAGATTCCTGGCCAGGGCTAGTGCCTGGATTATGGGTCCAGACCAGGTTGGGGCATGTACAAGAGGCAACTTAGCAATGTTTCTTACACATCAATGTTTCTCTCCCTATCTTTCTCCCTTCCATCTTCTCTCTAAATAAATTTTTCAAAAAGAATAGTGCTCAATTTATCAAAACTGAGAATTATATGATGATTTAGTCTTAAGACTATATTAATATTTTGAAAAATGTATCTTACAAGTAACCAAAATTTCAGTATGAGATTAAAATCCTAATTTTTAAATGCATTTTAAAGTCAATTGCATACGTCATTACATGTTCCCCTAAGTACTTCATCACTCATTTCATTAGCCAGAGTTCAGTATTTGTTTACAAATTTTTCTTTCAGGTAAATTTATATACAATAAAATGCACAAATCTTAATATTACATTTACTAAGTTTTAGAATTCAAATTATTATCAAGACTCGGAAAATTCTATCACCCTGGAAAGCTCTATATGCCCCTTCCTACTCAATTGTAATGTAATATAATTGTATATGCTCAATTCTCACATTCCCACTCCAATAACCACTACTGTGATGTTTTTCTACCATAGATTCATTTTGCTTATTGTAGTTTCTTACAAATGTAATCACAGAGTGTGGACTTGTATAGGAATTTTTGTATAAGACCTTTTCCACTTAGCATAATGACTTCAAGATTTATTCACGTTATCACATTTATTTGTAACCTGTTCCTTTTTATTGCCCAGTAGTATTTCATTGTATACAGTTTGGTTTTTCTTTCTCTTTGTTGGGCACCTGAGCTGTTCACAAATTTAATTACTGTAAATAAAGCATCCATGAATATTCTTATATAAGTCTTTTCTTGAGGCTATTACGAATAAAGCATGTTCAAGTCTTCCTGTGGACATATTTTCATTTCATGTTTTATATAAATGCCCAGGGATGGAGCTGCACAGTCATAGGGTGGGTATAGGTTTAGTTTTATAAAAGTGTTCTTTTGGAAAAAGCACAGCTTGTGAATTTTCAGCTATTCTTTTTCTCTAACATAACTCATTATGGCTATAAACTTTGCATCTAAGTACTACTTTATATTGCATCTCACATATCTTAATATGTTATATTTCTGTATCATTCAGGTTTAGGTATTTTCTAACATCCATTATCACGTCTTCTTTGATACAAAGTTTAAATTTTTCTGACTTCTTGTACAGACTTTTAAGTTATCTGAATTTTAACTTAAATTCTTTGTAGTCAGAGAATATGGCTTAAGTGATAGTGACACTTTTAATTTTGTTGAGATGTGACTTTTGAGCTTGTCAGTTTTCAGCTTCACTGTTTGTGATATTGGTCTGCATGTCCAAGAAATCATTTTCATTATATTTTTCACATTTATGGAACTTTTTATTAATTAATGTCTTGGGAACAGAAGGTAATTTTCCTGAACACAACACCTTTCAGGGGCCAATGGGCTCAGTGATTCACATTTATTCTTTGAACTGAAACACCATTTTTTAAAAATGGAATATTTAAAAAATTAAAAGAAAAATTTTAAAAATGGATTTTAGAAACAGAGAGGAAAGGAGAGAGAGAGAAACATCAATTTGTTGTTCTATTTATTGGTTGATTCCTGTATGTGTCATGACCAGGGATCAAACCTCAGCCTTGGCATATCCAGGTGATGCTCTAACCAACTGAGCTAGTGTGCCAGGACAGTTTTTCTTCTTCTTTTTTTTTTTTTTCTTCAACTAAGAGAATATAACAAAATAATGCTATGCCAAATGTGTACTGACTTCCTCACTTTATAAATTTAGATTGAACCATATTAAAACATTAAAAATGTTTTAAAAACATTTTTAAAATGTTTTAAAAACATTTAAAAACATTTAAAACATTAAAAATGTTTTAAAAACATTTTTCTCCCATACTTAAATCTTTACATCAAATATTCCAAATCTGCTTATAATTAAAAAAATGTATGTACTTAGGTTCTCTAGGAGTTAGTAGGGTTCTTACTTTCTGATCACATGCTATTGATCGCTAAAAGTTAAATTTCTGATATGTAACTTACATAAAAAATGAACTAAGACTATTATATGAGATCAGTTAAAAAACGCTACACAAAAGATTTTATATAAATACATACATGACAGAGTTCAATATTTTTCAGAACAGATATATAGAAAAAGACAGATAAAGAGAAGACATATAAAAGAGAAACAAGAAAAGGAAAAAATGAGGAGCATTAAAAGATAGAAAAACATAAAAGGTTATGTATTTTATTCCATGACTTACATTGTATGAGGATGCCTGCTCAGCCAATCTCTTTTCCCTTCCTGACAATATATGTTCTTCATCCTTCTTACTGAGTGACTTCCTTGCTTCTTGTGTCTCCTGAGGAACAAGCACAGATAACACATTACTGAACCATATAATTAAGGGACAATAAAAAGGAAAACTGTAATTTTTACTCAGATCAAGTAATTAGAGACTAAACTAATAAGCCAGGCTTGTTGAACCTCTTCCCACCACATGTTAATATACCTGATCAGAGGTCTGTTGATAATCTAAGATTTTCCTGGAAACAACAACAACAAAAAATAACAACTCTATCCAATGAAATAGAAGAATCACCAATTTTTTGATCTCAGGCATCAGTTTGACAAACTATAATAAAATGTTAAAGATAAAATAAGGCTTAAAAAGAAATCTTGCATTATATTTTCAAAACTTGGTAAGTTACTTTTTGAGGAAACAAATTAAGAAAAAACAAAAGGTGTACAGACAGGAAAACATAAAACTATATGCACAGATGACAAACTTTCTATGTAGAAAACCTCAACGAATCAACACAAACACTCTTGGAATAGTAAGCAGGTGCAACAAAGCTGCAGGACACAAGGCCAATATACAAAATATACCAGCAATGAACAACTGGAATTTGAAATTAAGATAAAAAACAACATTTCCCATAGAACACACACAAATTTACCTGAAGTACGTATGTATGTATGTAAATTTCCAACAAATTCTAGTTAGAAAAAAAATTCTGGAGAATATAGTCCCAACCAGAAATGAAGAAAATAAACATAAAAAACAACTGAAAACCATTGTTCTCAAAATGTATTTTTATACTGCTGCTATTTGCTTAAGAAAACTAATGAGAATCTTACATAATTTTTTTCTTTATAATGGACTAAAATGACATTGTATTTAATAAACTACATTAAAAACATAGGAATAATTTAATTCTTATTTTTCATAAAACATTTCCCAGAAAACCGATGCTTCTAATTGTAAATATTCAGAGAAAAATGATGTTATGGTAGATGGAGATAAAAACCTGACTATTGAAGAGTTAATTGATCCAGTCAAGACTGGGAGGTGAGAATATAACATATCTTATTCAATTATTTTATACATCACACTGCTATTTCTTTCTAAAGAACAATTTTACTTCTTTTAGGTAATGTTGCCTAAGTGAATGTGAGAACGTGAGTGATATGGGAGATGTATGCTGCACAATCAAATATAAAAAGGTTAGATGAACCTATTAAACATATTTTTTAAAAAAAGGAAACAACAATGATGTTACAAAAATAAAAAATCAGTCATCAACTTTTACACAGGATCAAAAATACCAGAAAATGAATAGCTCTGTGATAATATATATTATTTGGTACCACAAATACATATAAGTATGTATTATCTGATGTAATGCTGTACCACATAAAATTTAAGGAGATAGTAGTAATTCCTTCATGAGTCCTTTGTAAACACTGAACATTACATTAAGCTCTGAAAAGAATGACCAGATCTAAAGAATTCAGCCATAGGGCCTAAAATCACTCAGTTCAAATTGTACTGCCTAGTTTCTATTTGTTCCACTTTCCTGTGATATCTTTCTCTGAAGAAGACTCCCTGCATACAGAAGGACAGAAAAATGCATAAATAAATGTAGGCACAAATAAAAAGTCCCTGTGAGCAAGGGAATTAATTGTATTTTTGGAGACAATCTTAAAGGCTAAATTACAAAAATGCCAATAGTATATTATTTGTATAAGTGACCAGTTAAGGAAGATTAGGCCTTCTGACACTTGTCATTCAAAGGTGTGGCTCATGTTTACACATCTTTTGTTGCTTATTCTGCCCCCATGTGTTGGTTCACCTCACCTTTCTATTACAATTCCAGATTCCTTTAATCTTCAGGGCAATAGAGAACTTACAGCACCACCACATATGCAGGTTAGGATGCTAAAAATGAGGAGACTTCAACATACTATTCTCATTTTAACAATAACACTATTTCACAAGCAATTCTCCACTAAAATAAATGCTCCTTAAGGAGCTTTTTCTTCATTCTATACTGGCAATCAATAGAAAGCCCGTAACACAATTTATAGTTACAGAATTCTAGGTACTAATGAATAAGATAAACCAAGCGAGAGAAAGAATTGTGCAACTGTTTAAGTCAGAACTGATAAAGCTATAAATCTTAAGGCTCTAATTAGCAGAGTATTTAAAATCTGAATGGGATGTCCTAAGGGAATTAAAATCTTTGGATGGAATAAATTTAAGTAGTAGTGCTGGGGACAGTGGTTCAACTGCTAATGTACAACAGAGTGTTTTGAAATAAACAGAAAAATTCAAGAAAAGAAAATTTAAAAATAATAATGTATTTTATGCATACTTTTGGGGGCATATATTTTGTAAATTACTTACTGCATTAATGAAAGTGTTTATTTTTTATTGATGTATAACTAACATATTAGTTTCAGGTGTATAATGTAATGATTTGACATTTGTATATATTGCAAAATGACTGCCACAATAAATTTAGTTAATATCCATTGCTAAACAGTTACAAATTTTTTTCCCTTGCAACGAGAACTTTCAAGATCCAGTCTCCTAGCTACTTTAAAAAATGCAGTACTGTATTCTTAACTATAGCCATCATGCTGTACATTATATCCCCAGAACTTACTCATTTTATAACTGGAAATTGGTACCTTCTGACCACCTTCACCTATTTGTCCACCCCTGTACCTCAGGCTCAGATTTTTAAAAAAAATTTTGTCCTTTTTTTAGATTCCACATGTGAGATCATAGCATATTTAGTACTATTAGTGAAAGTGCTTTTGCTTATCTTGATAGTAGCATGAGTCATTATGCATCATTTAAGAATCTAGGTTAATCTGTGGCTTTGTTTTCTTTCAAGATATTTTAAAACATACCTTGTCATGGAGATAGTATAATGTTGTATAAGGACCAGTTTTGAAATTCCTAATTCCAAGAGCTTCGAGTTAGAAAAGTATACAACAGATTTATTATTCATTACCTACCAGCATTGTAACACCAGAAAAATTGACCTCACAGAGGTTAGTTTCTCCTATAAAATGAGATCAATAAACCCATGCCTCAGTGTTTTCTAGAGATTTAAATGATATAGTTTGTTGGGAAATAGTAAGCAACTGGTGTCACTTTTCTTCAAGGGGAAATCTGTATTTTTCCTTTTGGAATCATAATTTAAAAAGTAGTACCCTTAAATATTTTGCCTTATGTCTTTTCCAAATAGAGCCAACATGGACAGAAATACATGAACAAACACTTTCACCTTAGCCTTCCTTTCCCTGTCAGCTGGAGTATCTGTCCAGACTGATCGATCTTCAGATTTGTCATCTGTTCTTCTCTTAAAAGTTCTGGGCCCAAGACCAAAGTCTTTAAATTCTGGAGGAAGCTCAGTCATCCATAACTCCCTTGTAACTGGTTTAGCTGAAATCTTTAAGAGAAACAGAAAGTTAAAAAAAAAAACCCAAACCCCAGTAGCCTGGAAAGAGCGTATGTGTGCGTGTGTAAAATGCTGTATAAGTGACTATGTTTTTCAATTGAAGCTTTAAAGTTAAATAGCAGACTTTAAGACAAAGGATTTAATAGAATTAATGTTTTCATCATATACATTATAAATATTTTCATCTAATTTATTGTTCTTTTGACTTCTTTATAGTTGCCTTATAAAAATGTTTAAATAGGCAAATTTGCCAGTCTTTTCTTTTTACAGCTTCTGGGTTACCTAGCCACTAAGTTTCCTTCACACACACATATATATACATACATATACAGGGTGAGGCAAAAGTATATTTACAGTTGTTTGTATGGGGAAAAATACAATAATTAATAAATAATGATACAAGAATAAACCATGTTTCACATTGCTCCACTCTTGTATATGTATTATTTAATGTCTATTTTTAAAATTTAGATTTTTAATTTAGTTAGTTTATTTCTCAGAGTAGTGTATGTTAAAAACTTACGTCATCTCCTTTGGTCAGTTTTTCTTTCATTCTCTGGGCCCTTTTTTCAAACTCTGTCGTTACACTATAGTTAACGGGTCCTTTTGCAGGCATTGGTCCAACAATGTCTTCATCTTCACTGCTATCTATTTCCTTTGGAAATAAGACATTACCTTTAAACCAAGAGCAGAGCTATGGATTATAGAAAATAACTAAATTATTTAAAGTTTAAAGGAATCTGATTACCAAGAGACAATATAACAAAAACTAATTTGTTGCTGGCTAAGCACTGAGCAATAAGGGCACTTTCCATGCCTTCCTGAAATGCACAGTACAGGGGGGACAAACCCATGGAATGTGGATTGTCCAAACTCTCCTCCCATGGAAGTCCACAGCAGACCTCATTAAATTATTTTAGCTTTTTTCCTGATGGACAACAATGTGGCCTCATAATTCTCAAAATGATATTCTAGGTAACTATTATTGACAGGTCGGAGAGGAAACCATTTGCATTCCTGGTACAGAAAACACTCTTTGGGATAAGAGGCACATGACTGAGACACTACTGGCAGCTGTATCAGTGTTCGTGATGCAGTATCCCCCACTGAAATAGAGATGCTGTGCATTTCCAAATGCTAACCTGAATGAGTTAATTTGGTTCCCAAAGTACACTTATCCCAATACTGTATCATAGCTACAGTATTGTAGTTATTCATTTTTTTAATTCTTAGCAAATTATTTTAATAAAGGGTTTTCATGTAAGACTCTGGGTTAGATGCTTGCTATATACAATAGGGTTTCAAGCAGTCCTAGTCCTAAAACATACAATGTATTAAGATGAACAATAAAACATGCTTGTTCTCCAGCTCTGAAAGGCAGCAGCTTCGTATTTTTTTCAAACTACCATGACTAGGAGTTCATTTGTATTGTTTATAATTTTCCCACTAATCACTTGAAGGTAACTTTCTAGTTGTGCTTTCTTTTGTAAAAAATTATAGTGACTGCCACAGGTACAAGTGATTAGATAATTACATATTGTCCTGGGCCTTACTCTAAATCACATACTGTTAACTTCCGGCCAGGATGGAGGCATACATAGATACTTTGCCTCCTCACACAACCAAAAGAAGGACAACAAATTTAAAAACAAAAATAAACAGAACTGCCAGAAGATAGATATGTATGGAAGTCTGACAACCAAGGAGTTAAAGAAACACTCATCCAGACTGGTAGGAGGGATGGAGACCAGCAGCAAGCCGGGGTGGAGAAGATTTGCAGCAAGGTGGTGGCTGGTGGACCCACAGATAAACTGGGAGGAACAACTGGGGATTGAGACAGACCACACAAACCAGGTTGGACCAGGTTGCACACAAACCTTGGTTCTTTACTATAAAGAACTGTATGCCAAGAAAATTGAAAACATAGGTAAAATCCAAAACTGAATAAAGAAGAAGCAGAATGCTTCAACAGACCAATAAATAATAGCTATTGAAATCAAAGCAGTAATAAAAAAACTCCCAGCACACAAAAGCCCTGGACGGGATGGTTTGACAGAATTTTACAAAACATTTAAGGAAGAGCTAGCCCCTATCTTTAACAGACTATTCCAAAAAATCCAAGAAGAGGGAAGACTCCCAAACACTTTTCATGAAGACAGCATCATCCTAATCCTAAAACCAGATCAAGATACAATGAAGAAAGAAAACTACAGGCCAATATTGCTAATGAACAGATGCTGAAATCCTCAACAAAATATTGGCAAATCTCATCCAGCAATACATTAAAAATATTATATACCATGATGAAGTGGAGTTCATCTTAAGGATGCAAGGATGTTACAATATTCACAAATCAATAAACATAATACATCACATAAACAAAAGCAAAGACAAAAATCACATGATCATATCAATAGATATGGAAAAAGCATTTGATAAGGTACAACATCCATTTATGATAAAAACACTCAGCGAAGTGGGAATAGAGGGAGCATTCCTCAACATAATAAAGGCCACATATGAGAGACCTACAGCCAACATCATTCTCAATGGGCAAAACCCAAAAGCTTTCCCACTAAGATCAGAAACAAGACAAGGGTGTCCACTTTCACCATTTTAATTCAACATAGTGTTAGAAGTCCTAGCCACAGCACTCAGACAAGAAAAAGAAATAAAAGACATCCAAATCGGAAAGGAGGAAACAAAACTGTCATTGTGTGCAGATGACATGATAGTGTACACAGAAAATCCTAGAGACTCCCTCAAAGAACTACTCGACCTAATAAGTGATTTTGGCAAAACCGGGGGATGCAAAGTCAATATCCAGAAATCAAAGGGATGTATACATGTATACCAACAATGAAATATCAAAAACAGAAATCAGGGGAAAAAATCCCATTTGATATAGCAACAAGAAAAATAAAGTACCCAGGAATAAACCTAACAAAGGAAGTAAAAGACCTGTACTCAGAAAACTGCACAACACTGAAGAAAGAAATGAAGAAAGGCACAAACAAATGGAACTATGTACCATGTTCATGGACTAGAAGAATTAACATCATCAAAATGGCCATACTACCCGAAGCAATTGATACATTCAATGCAATACCTATTAAAGTACCAACGGCATATTTCACAGATACTGAACAAACATTTCAAAAATTTATATGGAAACATAAATGACCCTGAATAGCCACAGCAATTCTGAGAAAGAAGAGCAGAGTAGGAGCGATCACAATACCTGATATCCAACTGTATTACAATGCCACTGTAATCAAAACAGCCTGGTACTGGCATAAGAACAGACACATCGACCAATGGAACAGAACAGAGAGCCCAGAAATAAACCAAAGTCTCTATGGTCAACTAATATTTGACAAAGGGGGAAGAAGCATAAAATGGAATAAAAATAGCATCTTTGAAAAATGGTGTTGAGAGATCTGGACAGCTACATGCAAAAAAATGAAACTTGATCACCAGTTTACACCATACACAAAAATAAATTCAAGGTGGATAAAAGACTTAAATATAAGTTGTGGCACCATAAAAGTCCTAGAGGAAAATCTCAGATATTCCATGCAGCAGTATTTTCACCAAGATGTCCCCTAGAGCTAGGGACATAAAGGAAAGAATAAACAAATGGGACTTCATTAAATTAAAAAGCTTCTGCATGGCCAAAGAAAAGAGCAACAAAATGAAAAAGGAACCAAGTAAATGGGAAAACATAGTTGCCAATGATACCTCAGACAAGGGTTTGATCTCCAAAACGTATAAAGAACTGACACAACTCCACTCCAGGAAGACAAAAAACCCAATTAAAAAGTGGGCAGAAGATTTGAACTGACACTTCTCTGAGAAGGACATACAGAGGGCCCAAAGACATATTGAAAGATGCCCAGCATCACTAGCCATCAGAGAGATGCAAATGAAAACCACTATGAGATACCACATCACACTGGTCAGATTGGCCATCATAAATGAATCAAGAAACAAGTGTTGGAGAGGATTTGGAGAAAAGGGAACCCTAGTATACTGTTGGTGGGAATGCAGACTGGTGCAGCCACTATGGAAAACAGTATGGAATTTCCTCAGAAAACTAAAACTGGAATTGCCTTTTGACCTGGCAATTCCACTGCTGTGATTACACCCTAAGTACCCTGAGACCCTAATCCAAAAGAACCTTTGCACCCCAATGTTCATAGCAGCACAACTTACAATAGCCAAGTGCTAGAGGCAACCTAAGTGCCCATCAGTAAATGAATGAATCAAGAAACTACAGTATATTTACACAATGGAATACTATGCAGCAGAAAGAAAAAAGGAGCTCCTATACTTTGCAACAGTATGGATGGAACAGGATAGCATTATGCTAAGTGAAATAAGCCAGGGAGTGAAAGACAAATACCATATGATCTCACCTCTAAGTGGACCTAATCAACAAAACAAGCAAGCAAGCAAAATACAACCAGAGACATTGAAATTAAGAACTAACTGACAGTAACCACAGGAGAGATGGGAGGGGACAATGGGGGCAAAAGGGGAAAGGGTTTTCAGGAACATGTATAAAGGACACACAGAGAAAACCAAAGTGGGGTAGGATCTTGGGCAGGAAGTGGGGATGGCTGGGGTTAGGGGGAGTGGTAAGGGGAAAATGGAGACAACTGTACTTGAACTACAATAAAAAATATAAAGTAAATGTTAAAAAATACAAATAAGCAATGAAGAAATACAACTATGAGATTCAGAGTTCAAAACACTGGTAATCAGGATGCTCACAGAAATGCTTGAGTATGGTTGTAAAATAGAGGAAAAAGTGAAGGCTATGAAAAGTGAAATAAAGAAAAATACAGAGGGAACAGGGAAGGGAAGGAAACCAGGACTCAAAGCAATGATTTGGAGCAGAAGGAAGAAATAAGCATTCAACCAGAACAGAATGAAGAAACAAGAATTCAAAACAATGAGGAGAAGCTCAGAAACCTCCAGGACAACTTTAAATGTTCCAGCATTGGAATCATACCGGTACCAGAAAGAGAAGAAAAGAGCAAGAAATTGAACACTTACTTGAAAACATAATGAAGGAGAACTTCCCTAATCCAGCAAAGGAAATACACTTCCAAGAAGTTCGGGAAGCTCAGAGTCCCAAAGAATTTGGATCCAATGAGGAACACACCAAGGAACATCATAATTACATTAGTCAAGATTAAAGATAAGGCGAGAATCTTAAAAACAGCAAGAGAAAAGGAGGCAGTTACCTACAAAGGAGTTCCCACAAGACAATCAGCTGATTTCTCTAAAGAAACCTTACAGGCAAGAAGGGGCTGGAAAGTATTCACAGTCATGAAAGGCAAGGACCTACATTCAAGATTACTCTACCTAGCAAAGCTACCATTTAGAATGGAAGGGCAGAGAAAGTGCTTCCCAGATAAGGTCAAGTTCATGGAGTTCATCATCACCACGCCTTCTTACATGAAATGTTAAAGGGAGTTATCTAATAAAAAGAAGGTGAAAACTATGAAAAGTAAAATAACCATAAACTCACAAGTATCAACAACCAAATCTAAAAAAACAGAGACAAAAACAAACTAAGCAATCAACTAGAACAGAAACAGATTCACAGAAATAGAGATCACATGTAGGGTTATCAGCAGGGAGTGG